GGGGGGCAGAGATGAAAGTTTAACATAGCTCAAACTACTCATTGTGGTTATCGTCCAGCACCATAGGAGAAGTGTTCATGCAGCTCTAAAGTGTGGAAGTTCTTTTCCCAAGAAACAGTCAGTGTATAACTGCTGATGGCAAGGAATTCTTTTCTTTACCTCATGGGAGAAAAGTATGTCCTTCAAGGCCAAACTGTGTTATTTTCGGCGGCATAAGACCACTATCACAAATTTCCTGGCAGAATATTGCTTCTTCTAAGCATCCACTTGCTTCAGACGTGGGGTGGGGGAGCCAAGCCTCTTCYCCCTTTTTTTGGCTTCTGTTCAGTTCAGTCCAGTCCTCCAAGGCTAGGTTTTTCTTAGAGCAAGATAGCTCTCTTTTTTTATACAGGTCTCCCATTGAAGAAATWGTCCTTTCGAGAACAGCTTGTTTTCTCCATGTTCAAGCACCAYAGCTATAGCACAGCACCGTCTTCTCCYTACTGTGATCTTGGGTCTCCATTTTTTTCTTACATCTCCWCACCCTCCTGCTCTGTTTTTCCCCAGTGCATGATACTAAAACTAAATACCAACAACCTAAAAACTACATGGCAGCCGTGCTCTATCTTATTTTGAATTCTTCTTAAGTACAAGACCAAACGTCATCACAGAGGTGCAACTGCCTGTGCARTTGGCCCAGGCCTGACCAGCAGCCTGTCCATCAACCTCAGAGCCACAATGGATTGGTTCTGAAACACAGGGGGCAGGGCTCCTTTTGCTGGAGAAGAAGGAGAAAGCTTCTAGAACTTCATCACAGGAGCCATMTTTGTGGTTTCTTGTTCCCATCCCCCYACCACTAAAAATTGGACTGAGTAAAATCWGGACACTCCCTCAATGCCAAGAACCATTATACTATTTTTCTCTACTGTAACTACCCAAAGCCTGCTTTGGCAATGGCTGTCATGGTCACAGAGCAGATTAACAGGGATAAACACTTCAAGAGTTCTGGTCGCTTATCTGCCAGGGCAAATCAGCACTCTCGCTCACACGTCTTGAGCCAGGAAGATTGATTAAAAGCCCCACRTGGCCGTAAGGCTTGAATGTGAGGTAAATGACTTTCAGGGTTCCCATCTAACAGGAGTCCTGGGAGAATATAAGACTTGGGAAGAAAACAAAACCAAATCAAAACAAACACAAAGAAAGGTCCCTTTGATSTGGGTGGCTGTGTGACATCTGTAACTCTTCTGTTTCTAGAAAGTAAGTATGCCAATTTATAATCTCTGGTTTTCAATGCAGTTTAAGTCTATTTTGCATATATATTAAAAACATAAATACATTTTATGTACAGAAAGAAAGTTGATGGTGTCTCCCTTCCCGAGCTGCAAGTATCACCCAGAACAGCTGTATTCACACATTGCTCTGAATTGGAAGAAGTGGTTTTTGCCAACTTTTTATCAGCTGCAGCATTTGGAATCAAGGCTCTCTGAGATTCCCAGTACATCAAGCTAGACTACATCTTGTACTTATTTATAACAAGTCATGTAGATAACTAACTGCTCCTTTMCTTATGGATTCAGTAACTTTCTTTTTCTTTCTATTTTTAGAAACAGAAACAGAAACCCTATTGGTCCAGGAAAGTATGGATATGGAAAAGTGCCATACATTTTACCTTTGCAAACTGATACTGGGCAGCAGCCTCAGAAGCTGCGCAGGCAGCGGCAGTCGTCGAGGAATCACCTATTCCACCAGAGTCCGAGTCTCATGAGCCCCTACAGCCAGGCAGCTGCTCCTTCACTGCAGCACAGGAGTCTTTATCAAGAAGCAAGTGAGCCTCAGGCGGGACCCCAAGTCCTGGGGCCCTCAGTTTATCAGTCACCTTCATTTCCTGTRTCTCAAAGTCTGTTCCATGGCAGTGACTCCAACCCCCATGGCCCTGCCTCCCACCAGGCCCTGCAGGGRCAGCCCCAGCCCCAGAGAGCTGCAGCCATCGTGTGCATTGGCGCCTACAAGCAATATAAACTCTGCAAYACAAATGTAAGTCTGCTTTTCCTGGGTTTCATGTTACTGGTTTTCCATAATATGCAAAATGTTCACCTAATCATCAAGTTAAGTTGAATTTAAAAAAAAAATTAGTTTTATGAAATGTTTTGTGAACTTGTTTTAGTGTCTTGGGGAATATTGAAAGTAGATCCATAAAATTATAGTTACCTAATACTATACCTGCAAGGGTTTTAAGTAGTCAATTAACGTACCGGTAATAACTACAATTGTAATTGGACAGGAGAAATTGGTCTTTTTGGTGCTGAAACCTGAGATTTGAGATAAGGATAGTAATTGAGAGAGGTAATGGTACAAACATGGGCTGAACAATGTCAGAGAGTGGAATAATCATGGAAAATTTTTGTTGTAATTGCGGTGATGGGACAAAGGATGGATTTAGTGTAAATTTTCCACTGCCATTTGGTATTGTGATGTTATTTTGATTTTTTTGGGGGGGGGGGATTCTTTTTCAGCAGTAGAAACAACCTGTGATGAACTGACCATAAACCCCATTTTGTCTCCCCATGCCACTGAGGAGAAAAACTAGATCTGGGAAGAAGGGAGGGGTGGGGGGAAGGTGTTTGTGAGATGTTTTATGTCTCATTGTCATGCTCTGGTTTTATTTGGTAATAAATTCAATTAATTTCCCCAAGTCAGGTCTGTTTTGCCTGTGACAGTAATGGGTGAGTGATCTCTCCTGATCATTATCTCAAGGACCCATTAACCCTTTGTCATATTTTCTCTTCCCTGTCCGGTTGTGATAGAGTGGCTTTAGTGGGTAAAGCCACCCAGTCAGGGTCAAACCAAGTCACAGACAATCTTTATGTTTTTCTGTGAAAGAAATTGAAAAATGGAGTTTGAATAGGCCATATTATGAAGGCTGTCTACTTCTCAGTCCTGTAAGATGAGGTTATGCTTTTGCAAGTCTTAGTCATGTTCTRAACAGCATTTAGTACCAGCCCCCAGTAGCCTGGATCACTCCAGTGTCTTTCCATGGTGCTCTGTGCATGCTGAGACAGATGCTACTTTTATCAGCATTCAAGTTCTGCGTGCTTTGATTTTGGCTTCCTRATTTATTGGAGTGAAAATCTATTCTGTGTTAATTTTTAAACAAAACTTAATCTGTTATTACTTGGTTGAAAGATGTTTGGCTAAATGGGTGTAGCTGCGTGCTCTGGGGCAGTCTCCCATTGTATGTGGGAGGCAAGTGAGGTTTTGTTCTTTGTCCCCATTAGTGGTTTTCTTCCTGCTAAAATTTTCCTTTTCTGCCTGTGCCATTTTAGTATTTCCCAAAGTATATTTTTTGATAGGTTTTTCTTATTTGGACTGCTAATTAACTTAATGCTGCAAACATGAAGAAACCAGTATTTGGATATTAGAAGCAGAATGTTCAGGGGAAGTCTGGAAATGTTGACATGACAGGCCTAATTTTTTCGGGGGGTGAACRTCTGATTCTTCTGCCTCCTAGAAACTCCCTTTCGTTTAGTGGAAGCTGCATAGTGGAGATGTAACAACAGAACACAGGGTAACAAAAACACAAGCTAAACAAATCAGATGCGTTCCTTTTTGCTTGTTAGTGTAGCAGTTATTACACTTGCTTTATTTATGAATAAAGTCCATTGATTGAGACGAGAGCAGTTGATTGAAAAGACCTAATGTCAAGAAAGCTTTAGTGTATTTGTCTGGAATGGAAAACATGAAGGGCTAATTTGAGCCTCTGAGAATAGTCTCTGGGACAAATTGCTCTTTTGAAAAACACTTTCTGTTTTTTGAAGGAAATGGGAAATGACCTTAGTGCATGGGCATTAATTTGGAAAGTTTTCTGAGCTGAATTTGCTCACTGTGTCCAAGCGATACATGAATGTCCCAGTCTTTTTTTCATCCCTCACACATGAGGGCACAAAGTTGGACAGTATTCTTCCTGACTTAATGTGACAAAATTGTTTCCAGGAAAGAGGTCTTTTCAGAGGGCAAGGGGTAAGAAATGAAGAAGTTAGAAATGAGGTAGAAGAAAGAAGTAATCCAAGATTGCCAAGGTATGGAAACAGAAGGTTTGTAGAGGACATTTGTTGAGTGTGGTGAGTGGGCTGGAGAGTAGAGGGCAGTGAGCTTGTGGGTTGGACAGTGGTCACACATGCAGTCAGCATGGTGAGGGCCATTGGCAGATCTCCTTTGGTAGAAGGGAGCAGGAGTGAAAATATTTTCATTTTGATAGTAGAATCTGTTGTTTAAATAAAAGAATTCAATAGATGAAAACATAAGTGAGTACACTGCTGCTGCCTCTGCCATTGTTGCCTCTATAAATGCAGTTCTAAAGAAATCTTTGATTATATTACAGGAAACCTAATAGCTAAGAGAAATTGTAGCTGAAGCAGCTTCTCCTAGGCATATAACTCTACATAGAGACATTCTGTATTAAGTAATGTTTCTGTTACCCTTGAAGAGGCTGTAATTGCTGTTCAGGGTTATTTTTGTCCCTAGAATGTGGTAATTAATGTAATTATAAAAAAGAAGTTACTAAGAACAGTTTTAGTATAAAGACCAGGATGAGAGCAAAACAAGGCTGATAGTGTTTCACTTTGTTTACTTGTTCTTGCTGATTAAATGCTTCTGCACACGGGCTTTAATTTAATTTATCAGCAACAACATGTACCAATGGTCTTGCCAGCAAGCAGAGAACAGTATCTTTTTATTTCTTTTTCTTTTCTTTAGTTCTTTCTGGAGCATACCAGAAGTGAAAATCTTACTTAGTGAAAGTATTCTGTTAACCCTTATCCTGGTATTGGGCCACTCCCTCTACAATTTCTCCTAAGGGCMACTAATTAATAACAAATTAAGTTAATCTGCCTTGGTCCATTAGGTCATTTCCTCATTACTGTACCTTTATTGTTTTTTAATTGATAGCTGAACTCATTTCAAATGACTGTCAGATTGATTCATAAAAGGTAAATTTGGGGGGTTTGGTTAGGGAGAGCCTCAGAAGTGCTTATATTTGTTCAAGTGTTCCTGCAGGCTGTTAAACCTATTTTCTTATGTGAATGGCTTTCCCTCTTCAGCACCTTGAGAATATGGTCACCTCAGAACACACAGCTGCCTGGTCACCTTSTTTGAAGGAAATGGGCAGTAAGCATCTCTCCTTTACACACACAGCTCTGACAGATCTAACTGAAACCATTAGCTACCTGCAATACAAGAGTCTTCCAAGGTAGTCTCTATTCCTTTGGAAATAAGGAAGTAGTGAGTAAATCTCCCTTTTGTCCCCCTGCGTTAAAGGGGAAAGAATTATAKGGATGTGTGGTTGAAGTAGAATTTGAATTTGGCCTTCTTTGCATGGTTTGTCACCAGAACAGAGGAAGCAACTCAAATGGAGCATTTGTTTACTGAGCCTTTCTGTAGTCAATTGTCTCGAGCATTGCCAAGTCACTGGCTCTTGGTGAGTGCMTGAATGTGTGAGAATATATTTGTAAATTAACTCCAGGCTCAGGTCGCTTAGGCAGTGTACACAAGGAAGCTTTCAGGCTTCTGGATATTCCAGACTACTTAAGGTATTTTCAGCATGAAGAGTGGTGGTAAATAAATGTAAAATGTGAATTGTCTTTCGCTATGGCTTGAGGTATGTTTTTGACCATATTTATGTAGGACTTTGAAAAAGTCAAGGTAAAATCTATTAAAGAGTAACTCAGTGTAATATTTATGGATAAAATTTTGCTGAGCTTTTCCAGTTTCATTCCTGGTTGCTAGCTTGCCCGCTGGTTCATGTGGATTGCTGTCATGTCTCCACTTACACTGTGTTGTTTTTCTCAGTATTTTATGTGACTGATGTTTAGCAAGAAGTCAATTGTGTTGTGATGAAGTGTCTAGATAGGATCAGAAGGCAGTGATTACTTCTGCTGTCTTGGCCTATCTCCTCAGCTATGCTGTTGTTCCCCCTCTGCTCTTAGGATATGTATGTATCCTCCTCTGCTGTTATTCTGGTAGCACAGCTATGGAAAATCCTCTGCTTGGATCTGTGCTCCTGTGTGCAGAGCACTTAAGAATGGCACCTGAGCAGGGAATGTGAAATATCTGAAAAGACAGTTTTGGAAATGGAAAGAGGTTTTACAATTGGAGAGATGAGGTGAGGGAAAAGGTCCAGGGTAAATCCTCAGCTCTGTTGTGATGGGATAAATTAAAATACTTCATTTCCCAGAGAGTCTTGTTGATGACACAGATACTAATTTTGATTGGTGTGAGTTAAAACTGTGSCATTGAAAGGCTTTTTTTGGATGCAGAACCCTAATTAAACAGAATTACAACGTTCTGCAGGAATGTGTTGAGTCCATTGAACAGTGATGTGCTTTTCTGTCACAGAAGCACATGGGTAGGCCTTGGCAGGGTCCCCTGGCACCTGGAATCTTGGGCCATCCACCAGGTTGCTGGTGTTCTGCCCAAGCAGTTTTGAAAGTTTTCCACTTTACAGAAAATGAAACATTTCCAGCGTTTCAAGTTTTAGCTAAGGTAGRAATGGAAGTGTTTAATTTTGTATGGAATAGAAAATGTAATTCCCAGACAAGTAATTTCAGAAGTATTATGGGATGCTGCAAGTGTGAATTCTTTAATGTAGTTAGGATGCTCAGGTATTGAGATGAAGGCTAACAAAAGACCATGCATTTTTTAGKTGAACTTTTTTTTTTAGACTGAAAAGGCCCTTCTTATTCCCAAGGAGCTACTGTGGGGTTTATTTTTTCTCATTTTGAGATTTGTATAGAGTGTTTGACATAAGTGGCAAAGTGAGGTTTTCCTGAGGAAATTTAAACTTGACTTTATGTGAGGAATTTTCCATGCAAACACCGTTGGACTGTGTGTAGGTTTGGTAGTGTGACATTCCATGGGTATATAGGAAACTTATTGAAAGCTTGCATTACTTTGAGTTGTAGAGACTTTTTTTGACTGTTTTGCTATTTGCAGCAGAGTTATGTAAATATTAATTCAGAAAGATTTGTCACCGGTACAGG